TGAATATAATACAACATGGAAAACTGGTTGATAAGAATCAGTGGCACCTGCAGAAGTGTGCCTATACGCACTGTGCGTACCTTGAATGTTCCAATTGAATCCAAATAAATCTCCCAAGTTACGCCTGAAGAAGCGCAACAGTGATGTTCACCTGTTTACAAAGGGCAGGGCTTTAAAACTATTAAAACCTGTTCTTTCTGACACTGGATATACACTAGACATTCAGTCCCTCCCATCATCGCACAACATAGCGTCCCCGAAGGTTTATTAAAAGAGACGTGGACCTCCAAAGCCCCGTGTGTCAGGTGTAAATGTGCAGACTGAGAGCGGAGGAGAGACTGAGGGAGGGCAGGGAGGAAACAGGCACTGAGGAAGAGCAATGGAACAGACGGGCAAACAGAGAAAAGGTTCAAATTGGCCACTGTGAGCATTACACACATGTGTGATGGCTCGCATGCTTTGAGCTGCATGTGCTCACAGCTGCACGTGGAGGGTCTCTCGCCGACTTCACTGTGCGGACCATCTAAAAAGTCCTGCAGGTGCCCCTGTTAAGACTGTGATTTATTTTGAAGTAGCAGAATCCTGTGCAAAGGTGATGATGATATATACTGCAGCCATCTTTTAAACTAATTAAAATAATGAGGAGAAAATACAAGCATAGAGATACGGACGCTGATAGCAAATATTGGTGCCAAAACTGAAACATTAGCTGGCTCAGGTATTGGTTTCATGATAGTAGTTACCAGATGATTTTGTTCCAGAACGTCTCATAAAGTTTGAACTCGCATTCATATAAAGCTATGGTTATTTGAAGGAGTTGCACAACATGATTAGATCTCATGTGTAATAAGTTCACTGTGTTTTAAAGAAATAAGTGCCATTTTCTGTCCCACAGATAGTGGTTAATACCAGATACCGTATCTGAAATGAAAACGCCTAACAGCCATTTCTAAAAAACAATAGCCACAAGCACTGAGGCAGAACGCTACAAAAGGAAGGATTTAAAAGGATTTTAAAAACACGGAAGAGCACTTTGGCAAGTAATCTTATGTGCAGGATTACTCTAATAAGCATGAACAAAACAACTCTATGCTTGCATGTTTTTCAGTCAGCTAAATTATGAAAACTGGAAAAGTAGTTGAGCATATCGCAGTATATATGGCCCATTTAAGATAATGCTAATTGCTTATTTTCATTCAAGTTAAATGAAATATTGCATAACAGGACATAACAGGACTGTACATTACATAATTTCTACTTCTCCTTGAAAAGTCAGTTTTCACCCGACCATGCACGGGCTGGATGTAGACGTCATGTTCTATACTAGAATGTCGTTTCAGATGGAGAGAAGGGGCTTTAACTCTATGGGAGAGTCACGGTTTTTAAATCTCAAATCTTAGAGCCCACAAATTTCATCATTTGTTTGGGATTAAATATACAAACTTGTCATATGAAACCTGCTGCTCAAAGCCAAATCAACTGATAACAAACATGTCTTTGGGGTTTATTGTTCAAGTATCAAGAAGTGCGCAAACAGTTTAAAATTAAATTGTTCTGTTCTATTAAAGTAGTACAAATCAGGTACAGTTTAACTTTAATTTTGCGCCAGGTTATGTTTCATGAAAATAAACCCAATAATTACAGAAATATTAACCATAAACCAGGTCAACACATCTACAATCTGACAGTTTAATAGCAAATTCCACATTAAATTCTAACCTGTCCTGCATCTTAATTTTAAACTAGGGATTCAAGAATATTGTCATATACAAGTATTGAAAATCACAGACTAACCGATACTAAAACTAGTATTGAAACTAGATATTCATTGGAGCAGGTATTGATACTAAAAACACATTCACAGGATACACATTAACCTGAATCCTGATGACTGAGAGATTACACAGATATAAGACCACATGGCAATACAAAAGAAAGTACTATGATTTAACTATGATTTTTAAATATCATTGTGGTATTGGAGTCAGTATTGAGTGTAATTTTTAGTACTGAATATGAGTTTGAAATTATTTTTTTATTAAAACACTAGTCACATGCAGCTCTCACATGCCTATATTAAACACATGGGTAAAAAACATGACACTGAATGAATTACTGCCTCATGTACTAAGCCCAGCATGCAGTCATCAGACTTTAATGGCATGATGGGTGGGTGGAGCAGGGACTGTGAGAACACGGCTGTACCCAGGGCCTGACAGGGTCCACAGGGAGAGGCCAGAATTAGCCTGCTCAGGGCGGGTGCGGAGGTCGGGCAGTGGTGGGAATGGACATCCACATGACGCAATTGGATCATTTGGATTTGTTTACATAGGCCAGGCCACATTCAGGGCTAAGAATATACAGTGACATGACAATGCAAAATGTACTTAGCCTGTATAAGTGGTCTCTTGGAGTTATAATGTTTGTGTAGAGTTAGTCATATATTCTTGTTTCTGAATACCTTCTGTACAAAACTGTCAAGATTTTGTTGTTATGGTGACCTTAACTTGCATATGACCAAAAATTATAATTAATCCAATCCAAATGTGCTCTATGAGTGATTAGAAATTTAAAGGTCCTATATTATGAAAAACTGACTCATGAGCTTTTAGTCACGTTATAACAGTGTTACCTCCTAAAAAACAAACTGGAGTTATGTTTTGTTAAACAGGTGTGACTAAAACAAAACATAACTCCAGGTATGTTTGTGATGAGGAAACAAAATTAAAATCGTGTACATAGGCCCTTTAAAACATAATATCTCAGAACTAACCAGATCACAAATAGAATAATTGAAAGAAAACAAAATATCAAATGAATACGTGATATTTTCCACAAATATACTGTATATTTTTTCTGCGTGGGTGTCTCCAGGCATTCTCGATTTCTTCCATCAATCAAAAAGAAGCATTATAGCTAATCAAGCTAAGCTAATCATTGAGATAGGTCCTCCAAACCTGGCTCTAGATCTGGAGATGGGTCCCCAGGCTGCACTGCAGTCACCTACTTCTCCATAGGTTGTCCCAGAGGCACTGAATGATGGGTCAAATGCATAAAGTGTACCATTCGTTCAGTTAAAGGTGCACTATTTAACTTCTGATGGAAATAGTTTTTTCTTAATCGGTGATACATGCACAATTTGGCAGCGTTGCGTAGGCGTTTTTGGCACAAATGAAAAAACAATCAGCTGCTCGCTAGTGTGATCTGCAGCTATCCACAGACCAACAGCTGCATGGCACGTTGTTGTGGTGACGTTTACAACCCAGCACTGTAAAGGGACAAGCGGGAATCGTCTCCACATATTGCATTAGGCTCCGCAATTATCAAAACAATTTATAGAGGGACAGAGGAGCTCATTCTCCAACAGGCTCCTAAAGCTCCGCTCAGACAGTGAGAGATACAGCACTATATTCATACTATACTCACCCTTATTTAATAGAAAACTCTATGTCATGTCAATCACTACTTCATCTCTGCACTTTTTCTCCTTCCCTTTCTGATGTATAGCTGAGATATGTTTCTATTATTATTTCTATATTTTATTTGACTTGTACATATTGTTTAATAAAATGGTTGAATATTTGTTTGACTGCTGTCATGACTTTTATACGAGTTCAACAAGTGTGTATAATTAAAACCGTACAACCATGTTACAACAGAAAAAAAAACACACAAGTGGTTTTGCTGTACAGTCCAAATAGTGAAATCAATAATTCCAAAAACTTTTCTAAATATTAAAAATGTGTTGTAACATTGTTTTGTCTCAGTGGATACGGGCGGTTGCTGTTAAAACAAAGTTTACGCCATCAGAGTCAAGAAGTGTTTTTTGGTGTAAAAATCGTCCTGATTGGCTGAGGATGGAGCTAATGACACCTACAGATGAAGGCGGGTCTGGAGAGGAAAATTATTCAAATAAGTCAATTTAAAGGCAGTTATGCTAGGAGGCCATCAATATAAATGTGTATATTATGCCTTATTTGACACCAGTCTCTCGCTATTTTTACTACTTATGTTGAATTTATTAATCCCATTTATATTTTTGCCCTTTACTATTATAATATATTGTGATGGTGTGAGCTACTGCCCAAATAATTTCCCTTGTGGATCAATAAAGTCTAATCCAGAAGTCAGTGTGATTTAAAATGTCAGAAATACAATGTAATGATCCATGGGTGTCATAGATTATAACTATACAGCAGATAGAAACACAATAGCTCTTCTTTAACATGCTTTACCTCACTTCAATGCCAAAGACTCAACTGACACTTGTAATGTCTAACACCAGTTGAGCTTTCAGGAGTCATTTGTTTTAGAGGAGGCATGCACACACACACGCTGGGTATCCATGCTTTTTCAGGACATAACATTGGCTAAATCACACTGATGGTTCAAGAATAAAGGATTTACGTCATGGGCACCTGTCTTTTGAGATGGGGGCATGTGTGTAGATTTTAGTCCCCAAAGTGTGATAAA